CGCCAGGTTACAGGTTGATCTCCCCAGGCAGCGTGCTGGAGCAGAGGAGGAGCCCAAGAAACGTGGCCCTTCCCCGGCGGTGGGCAGGGAAGCGGCTCTTACCCAAAGGATGGGAGGCTCCGCCCCGGCGGCGTGCAGGGCAGAGGCCGAGGGAGCCCGCTGGGGGCGTCGGGGGAGCGAGTCCGCGGGGAGGGGCTCAGAAACAAGCCCGGTGCGATGTCCCAGAGCACAGCCGGAGGCGGGAAGCTGCGGGCAGGCTGAAGGGAGGCGCGGAGGCGGCGGCGCGGCAGAGTTCCTGGACGGCTCTGCCCTTCCCGGCCCCTCCCCGGCGCGGGTGCGGCACCCGGGGTTACCCAGCCTGCACATCACACAGGCCCGGGCCCCGCCGGCGCCAGGCTCCCCACCCGCAAGGCGTCAATCCCCGGGCGCTGGGCACAGGCGGAAACGCGGGCGGCCGCACCAGGCAAGGTCCGGGCGGAGCGCCCCTGAGCCGCCTTCTGCGATGCGGAGCCGGCCACTCAGCCTTCCAAAGGGATATTTGCTATTCGTTCACACCTTGACTGAGCACCTACTATGTGCCAGACCCTGCACTGTGTCCTGGGATGACGTTCTGAGCAGGATGCACCGTCCTTGCCCTCATGGGTGTTGATAGAAAGGGGGAAAAAAAAGTGGAGAGTTTTGCACAGCACAAAACAAATGCATACCACCCATGATATCCTTCCTCAGAGAGAAGCTAGACTAGAGCTGGCAGACGCAGACGCGGTTGGTAAGAGACGGTGGTACCCCTCCCTCCCCCGTGTATGTATTGTTATGTAAGAGATGATATGAAATCTACAATGTGTGATCACCGTCTCAAAAGAGCCGCGCAGAAGAACGTCCATCAGGCCGGGCGCGGTGGCTCACGCCTGTAATCACAGCATTTTGGGGGACCGAGGCAGGTGGATCACCGAAGGTCAGGAGTTCGAGACCAGCCTGGCAACCATGGTGAAACCCCCTCTCTACTAACCATACAAAAAATTACCCGGGCGTGGTGGCAGGCGCCTGTAATCCCAGCTACTGGGGAGGCTGAGGCAGGAGAATTGCTTGAACCAGAGAGGCAGAGCTTGCAGTGAGCTGAGATCGCGCCACTGCACTCCAGCCTGGGCGACTAGAGCAAAACTGTTTCAAAAAGAGAAAAAAGAAAAAGAAAAACGTCCATCATTGTCATGTTTGGGATCTAGGCTCAGCTGGCAAACTTAGAAGGGTCCTGACAAAACACAGTGGTGATCCCTTCTAAGAAGGAAGTGAATCCCCGGAGGAGGAGACACTTGGCAAGTAGAGTGCATTCCACACACCAGAACCAGGGATTCAGAGGGGGCTAGGCATTCCAGGCACCCACAGAGGCTGGCACCTGAATTCATCCTGCCCTGGCAACTCTGGGGAGAAAAGGGCAATTTATGTACAAAGAGAGCAGCCGTGCTGAGCTTGGCCACCTGGGGCCCAAGCAGTCCTGTGGAGGGCCTCTTGGTGTAACCAAAACGGGGGCCTTGCCTTTGTCACTTGCTTCCACCATCTTCTGAGAGCACGGTAAGGGCTCAGTGTCATGGCAGAATGATGAACACCCCGTGCACAGGGCTTTGGCAGCACCCTGGATGGCCACTCCAGCCATCTCTTGCTCAGCTGTCCTCATCAGTGTTGGAGTCTCAACTCAGCAGAGGCCCCAGGTGTCAGCAACAGCAAAGTGCCTACGCTCCGGACCGAATAAAAACCTCTTCCTTCTTTAATCCGGTGCCTAAGGAGTTTTGGCTGTGGCTCGTTCTGTTACAAAAGGACATCTTAGATCACTTTCCAAGTGCAAGTGAGGCACATGTGGGAACACCCAGAAACATATGGGGCAGGTGGACTGTGCTGAGAAGGGGAATTCCCACACTGACAAGATGAATCTGGCCTGCATAAACCATGATTTAATTTTAATGTGCCACTCTCATCAAGTGGTGAATCCTGAGAATACTCAGATTAACCATATTGGGTATACTGTTTTGTAATCTGCTTTTTCTCTTAATTATCAAATATTAAACAATTATCTTTTCATGATTTTCTTTCTTTCTTTTTTTTTTTTCAATCGTAGAGATGGGATCTACCCATCTGTCCGGGCTGGACTTGAACTCCTGGCCTCAAGTGATCCTTCCTTTTCAGCCTCCTAAAGTGCTGGGATTACGGGCATGAACTATTATGCTGAGCCTTTCCATGATTTTTATTGCTACACAGTATTTCTTTATGTGGATTTATTTCCATTTATTTACCCAATCGCTTTCCTTTTCTTTCTTTTTTTTTTTTTTTTTTTTTTTGAAACAGTATCACTCTGTCCCAGGCTGGAATGTAGTGGCACAATCTCGGCTCACTGCAACCTCCACCTCCCAGGTTCAAGCAATTCTCCTGCCTCAGCCTCCTGAGAAGCTGGGACTACAGGTGCTCACCATCATGCTCAGCTAATTTTTGTATTTTTAGTAGAGACGGGGTTTCACCATGATGGCCAGGATGGTCTTGATCTGTCCTTGTGATCTACTCACCTCGGCCTCTCGATCTCCTGCCCTCGTAATCCATCCACCTCGGCCTCCCAAAGTGCTGGGATTACAGGCATGAGCCACCACTCCCAGCCTGTTTTGTTTTTAATAGCTTTATTGAGATATAGTTAATTAACTGCACATATTTAAAGTGTGCAATTTGATAAGTTTTGATATACTTATATAATATATACATATGCATATAAATTACATATATATACGTGTGTGTATATATATGTATATATCTCCATCATTTCATTCATCACCATGTCAAGGTAATGAACATATTCATCACTGCCAAAGTTTCCTCATGGCCCTACACTGCCCGCTTCCCCACATCCCCAAGCAAATAACAATCTGCCTTCTCTCCCTAGATTAGTTTTCATTTTCTAGAATGCTATATAAATGGAAGCATACAGTATGTATTATTTTTGTCTGCCTTTGTTCACTCAGCATAATTATTTAGCAATTCATATGTTTTGTTGCATATATCAGTAATTTGTTCTCTTTTATTATTGCTGAGCAGAATGCCATGGTATGAATATAACAGAATTTGCTTATCCATTCGCCTATTGATGATGGATTTTTGGTTTTTTCTAGTTACTGGCTAGCATACAAATAAAGCTGGTATGAGCGTTTGTGTTCAAATCTGTGTGTAGGTATGCGCTTTTTTTTTTTTTTTTTTTTTTGAGATGGAGTTTCACTCTTGTGGCCCAGGCTGGGGTGCAGTGGCATGATCTTGGCTCACTGCAACCTCCGCCTCCCAGGTTCAAGTGCTTCTCCCACCTCAGCCTCCCAAATAGCTGGGATTACAGGTATGCACCACCACGCCTGGCTAATCTTGTATTTTTAGTAGAGATGGGGTTTCTCCATGTTGGTCAGACTGGTCTCGAACTCCTGACCTCAGCTGATCTGCCTGCCTCAGCCTCCCAAAGTGCTGTGATTACAGGCATGAGCCACTGCGCCCAGCAGACGTGTACTTTCATTTGTCTTAAATAAGTGCCTAATAGTGGCGTGTAGTCCCAGCTACTCAGGAGACTGAGGCACAAGGACTGCTTAAGCACAGGAGCTCAAGTCTTGAGTAATAGACTCAATTGCTTGGGTCTGTTTTTGGACTCTGTATTTTGGTTGTGTTAATCTACATGTCTACTGTTTTGTTTTGTTTGAGATGGAGTCTTGCTCTGTCGCCCAGGCTGGCATGCAGTGGTGCAATCTCAGCTCACTGCAATCTCTGCCTCCTGGGTTCAAGCAATCTTGGTGCCTCAGCCTCCCACGTAGCTGGGACTTCAGGTGTGCACCACCATGCCTGGCTAATTTTTTTGTATTTTTAGTAGTGACAGGGTTTCGCTATGTTGGCCAGACTGCTCTCAAACTCCCGACCTCAGGTGATCCACCTGCCACAGCCTCCTAAACTGTTGGGATTACAGGAGTAAGCCACATCACCTGGCCCTATATGTCTATGTTTAAGCCAATACTACATTTCCTTGATTACTCTATCATCTTGAAATCAAGTAGTGTAGGTCCTCCAACTTGGTTTTTCTTTTTCAAAGTTGTTTTGACTATTCTGAGTCCTTTGCATTTTACTTAAATTTTAGAATCAGCTCATCCATTTCTTTTTTAAAAGCCTGCTTGGATTTTGGTTGGGATTATGTTGAATCTATAGGTTAGTTTGGAGAGAACTGAGATTAATAATTTTGATTCATGAACATGGTATATCTCTCTATTTAGATTTTCTTTAATTTCTCTCAGCAGTGTATTGTGATTTCAAGCTACAGGTCTTGCATATCTTTTTTTTTTAAGATGCATTTATTCAGCATCATTATCAGACCATTACATTTAGCAATCAACAGCAAGGGTGCAAAAAAAAATCTGCATTAAAACCCTTTGTTGGAATGCTTTACACCTTCCACAGAACAGGAACTAAAATAACCTGTTAACACAATTAGTGACAAATACAGTCCTCAAGTTTTTCGCCCATACACATAAGTATGGTCTAAACCATGTCTTCTTTGTAGCAGCTAGGCCCTGCTAGGCTGAGTTCACAAATCTGTTGTAACCCATAGCTTCTCTGTCCCTTCTCTGGCTCTCCTCTCCTGCTAAGCTTTCTTTCCTGTCAGTAATTAAAATCTTCTGCCACGGGCATAGCTACTGTTGCTACTGGAACTGTCATAGCCACCTTGGTTTTGTGGTTAGGCAAAGTATTGGCCTCCACCACCATAGGGGCCAGAGCTTCTGCCTCCAAAGTTTTCTCCCTTCTTGGGTCCAAAATCCGAAGAATGATTGTTGTAATTGCCAAAATCACTGTAGCTTCCACCACTTCCAAAATTGCTTCCATCATTACAAAATCCATTATAGCCATCCCCACTGCCACCACATCCACCACCACCCTGGCTGCCACCAAAGCCACCATGACCACTAAAGTTTCCTCCACGACCAAAGTTGTCATTCACACCAAAACCACCTTCACAACCACCACCAAAGTTTCCAGAACCTCTTCAACCTCTTTGGCTGGAGGAAGCACTAGCCATCTCTTGCTTTGACAAGGCTTTCTTAACTTCACAGTTGTGGCCATTCACAATATGGTATTTCTGAACGACAGTCTTATCCATGCCGTCATGGTTGTCAAAAGTTATAAAGGCAAAGCTCCTTTTCTTGCCAATGCCTCGGTCAGTCATGATTTCAATCACTTCTATTTTTCCAAACTGTTCAAAATAATCTATTAGGTGATGTTCTTCAGTGTCTTCTTTAATGTCACCAACAAATATCTTTTTCACAGTCAAGTGGGCACATGGTCTTTGAGAATCCTCTCTTGAGACAGCTCTCTTTGTTTCCACAACTCTTCCATCCACCTTGTGTGGCCTTGCATTTGTGGCTGCACCCACCTCCTCCACAGTGGCATATGTGACAAACCCAAAGCCACTGGCGCACTTGGTGTTTGGATCTCTCATGACCACATGGTCCATGAGCATTCCCCATTGCTCAAAATGGTTCCTCAGGCTCTCATCGGTTGTTTCAAAGCTCAACCCTCCAGTGAGGAGTTTCTGCAGCTGTTTGGGCTCTTTAGGAGACTCTGACTTAGACATGATGGCAGGGGGAAGAGAGAATTTAATGATCCAGGTCTTGCGTATCTTCTGGCAAATTTGTCACTAAGTATTTCCCATATTAATACTATCATAAATGTACTTTTAACATTTCAATTTCAAGCAGAAGGTTATCAGCATGTAGAAATACAATTGATTTTTGTATGTTGAGTATGTGTCTTGAAACTTACTAAACTCACATACTTTTAGCAGTACTTTGTACATTCTTTAGAATTTTCTTTGTAGATGACCATGTTGTCTGCAAATACAGTTTTACCTCTTCATTTCCACTCTGTATGCCTTTATTTTTATTCATTTATTTATTTTTAGATTTCTCCCAATTTAGAAATTTATTTATTGTGTAGAGATTAACTCCCTTCTTTATTCTGGATAGCATCTTCTTTATTCTGGATTTCGTTATCACAGTTCTATAGTATGATTACACACTCTAGCATGACGTTGAACAGAAGTGGGAAAAGCAGGACATCCTTGCATTGTTTCTGATCTAAGGGAGAAGGGCACTCACTCTTTCATAATTAAGCATAACATTAGAGAGAGATTTTTTTGTAGATGTACTTTATCAGGTTTCAGAGGTTCCCTTCCTTCTATTCCTAGTTTGCTGCAAGTTTTTGTCATGAATAGATATTGGATTTCACCAAATGCTTTCCTATATCTATTGAGATGATCATGTGGTTTCTCCTTTTTAGTAAATTAACATGGTAAATTACACTGAATAATTTTCAAATACTAAACTAATCTTTCACTCTTGAGATTATGCATTGTATAATGATGTATCTTACTTTTTATATATTAGTGGTGTTGATTTGTTAAAACTTTTTGCATCTATTTAATTATGGATATTGTTCTGCAGATTTTTTTCTTTGTAATAATTTTATCTGGTTGTGGTATCGGGGTGATGTTAACCTCATAGAATGAGTTGGAAAGTGTTACCTTCTTTTCAGTTTCCCAAATGAGTTTGTGAATTGTTATTATTTATTCCTTAAATGTTTGATAAAATTCACCAGCGAAGTTATCATCATGTGAGGTAAGCTTCGTGGGAAACTTTTGTTTGTTTGTTTGTTTGTTTGTTTTTTGAGACGGAGTCTCACTTTTTCACCAGGCTGTAGTGCAGTGCCATGATCTTGGCTTACTGCAACCTCCACCTCCCGGGTTCAAGTGATTCTCCTGCTTCAGCCTCCCAAGTAGCTGGGATTACAGGCACGAGCCTCCACGCCCAGCTAATTTTTGTATTTTGAGTAGAGACAGGGTTTCACTATGTTGGCCAGTATGGTCTCAATCTCCTGACCTCGTGATCTGCCCTCCTCGGCCTCTCAAAGTGCTGGGATTACAGGCATGAGCCACCACGCCCAGCTTCATGGGAAATTTTTATACTACATGTTCAATTTATTTTATAGATATAGAGCTATATAAGTTACCTATTCTTTAATGAGCTTTGGTGCTTTGTATCTTTCTCTACTTCATCAAAAATTTCAAACTTATTGGCATAAAGTTACTCACAGTATCTCCTTATTACCTAGTTAATGTCCATCAATCTGTAGAAATCTATCATTTCTGAGATTGATAATTTATGTCTTCTTTCTTTTTCCTAATCAGCCAGTTGCTCAATTTTATTAGTCTTCTCAAAGTACCCAATTTTTGTTTCATTGATTTTTCCTATTGCTTTTTTGTCTTATGTTTATTAATTTCTACATTTATCTTTATTATATCCTCTATTCTGCCACTTTCTGGTTTTGTAAAGATGGAAGCTTAGGTAATTTATAAGAGACCTTTCCTTTTTTCTAATTTAAGTGTTTAATGCTATATAATTTCCTCAAACACTGCCTTAGCTGAATTAACTTTTTTCTTCTTCTTCTTCTTCTTTTTTTTTTTTTTTTTTGAGACCATATTGACTCTGTTTCCAGGCTGGAGTGCGGTGGTGCAGTCTTGTCTCACTGCAACCTCCACCTCCCAGGCTCAAGTGATCCACCTCAGCCTCCTGAGTAGTTGAGACTTCAGATGTATGCTACCAGGCCCAGGTAATTTTTGCATTTTTTGTAGATACGGGGTCTTGCCATGTTGCCCAGGCTGGTCTCAAACTCCTGAGCTCAAGTGGTCTGCCTACCTCAGCCTTCCAAAATGCTGGGATTACAGGTGTGAGCCACTGCATCTGGCCAACATTGTATTTTCACTCAGGTTGAAATAATTTCTTATCTCTCTTATGACTTCTTGACCCATGCATTATTTCAAACTGTATTATTTTATTTTAAGAATAAACTTAACCAATGAGGTGAAAGAGCTGTACACTGAAAACTCTAAAAACATTGATGAAAGAAATTGAAGAAGACACAAATAAATTGAAAGATATCACATGTTCATGAACTAGAAGAATTAATATTATTAAAGTGTCCATACTACTCAAAGCAATCTACAGATTCAATGCAACCCCTATCAAAATACCAATGACATATGTTCTCACTACAAATACATAAATATGTGAGGTAATATGTATGTTAATTAGCTTATTTGGCCATTCCACAATGTATATATATTTCAAACTATCATGTAGTATACCATATATACATATGATTTTTTTTTTTTTTTTTTTTTTTTTTGAGACAGAGTCTTGCTCTGTTGCCAAGCTGGAGTGCAGTGGCACAATCTTGGCTCACTGCAACCTCTGACTCCCTGGTTCAAGGGATTCTCCTGCCTCAGCCCCCCCCCCCCCCCCCCCCCCCCCCCCCCCCCCGAGTAGCTGGGATTACAGGCACATGCCACCACGCCCAGCTAATTTTTGTATTTTTACTAGGGACAGGGTTTCATCATATTGGCCAGGATAGTCTCGATCTCCTGACCTCATGATCCGCCTGCCTTGGCCTCCCAAAGTGCTGGAATTACAGGCATGAGCCACCATGCCAGGCCACATATGATTTTTATGGGTCAATTAAAAAAAATAGGCTCTAGACTGTGTGCAATCTATGAACAATACAAGAGGACTTATTCATCTTGGCCCTAGCACCTGGCACCATATCCAGACCAAAGTATGTGCTCAATAAATGTTTATTGAGTAGCTTGTGGAGCAAGCGAGACGAGACCTAGACTGAAAGTCAAAAGACCTGTGTTTGAATCCAGTTCTGCCACTAACCAGCTCACTACGCTTGAGCCTACGAGTTTGAGACCAGCCTGAGCAACATGGCAAAACCTCGTCTCTACAAAAAAATCAAAAAAATAGCCGGGCGTGGTGGCACCCACCTGTAGTCCCAGCTACTTGAGAAGCTGAGGTAGGAGGATCACCTGAACCCACGAAGGTCGAGGCTGCAGTAAGCCATGATCACACCACTGCACCCCAGATGACAGAGTGAGACCCTGTTTCAAACAAAACAAAACAAAACAAAATGTATGTTACTTTTATTTTATTTTTATTTTATTTATTTATTTATTTATTTATTTATTTATTTATTTTTTATTTTTTATTTTTTTTTTTGAGGCAGAGTCTAGCTCTGTCACCCAGGCTGGAGTGCAATGGCATGAGCCTGGCTCACTACACCCTCCACCTCCTGGATTCAAGCAATTCTCTTGTCTCAGCCTCCCGAGTAGCTACAGGTGTGCGCCACCATGCCCGGCTAGTTTTTTTGTGTTTTTTTGTTTTTTTGTGTTTTTTTTTTTCTGAGACAGAGTCTCGCTCTGTCGCACAGAGCTGGAGTGCAGTGGTTTAATCTCAGGTCATTGCAACCGTCACCTCCTGAGTTCAAGTGATTCTCCTGCCTCAGCCTCCCGAGTAGCTGGAATTATAAGTGTGTGCCATGACATCCAGCTAATTTTTGTATTTTTAGTAGAGATGGGGTTTCACCATGTTGGCCAGGCTGGTCTCGAGCTCCTGGCCTCAAGTGATCTGCCTGCCTCAGCCTCCCAAAGTGCTAGGATTACAGGCACGAGCCACCGCACCTGGCAGCATTTACATTATTATCAGCTGTAAGAATAGCTGATAAATAATTAATTTACTTCAGAGACAAATTAGGTACTATCATTTCCCTTCCTTTCTTATAGAGCAGTTTGTTTTTCCCAGAGTTTCCACTTTCTTTTCTCTAGTACCGTTTTCCTTAAGTTATTCTCATTCATTAGGTCTGGACTCTTGCACTTCTCTGTGCTCTATCATGTCAGATGGTCTAACGGATCCGCTTTTTATCTTCTCAGAGCCCTCCATCCTCCTAATCAATCTGGCCTGGTTACTTTCTAAGTTTACTGGTATGGTGATCATCAGTGCTGTTCACAAATACCCTCATTCATTACCACCTTCATTGGTAGTAAACCATTGAGATTGTGGGGGTGTTTGTTAACTCTTCATAACCTAGCTTCTCCCAACTGATGTGGAAGTTGGTACCAGAAGTGGAGTGGCACTGTAACCAAACCTGAAATATGGCCAGGCGTGGTGGCTCACGCCTGTAATTCCAACACTTAGGGAGGCCGAGGCAGGCAGATCGTTGGAGGTCAGGAGTTCAAGACCAACCTGGCCAACATGGTTAAACGCTGTCTCTACTAAAAATATGAAAATTAGCCAAGCATGGTGGTGCACACCTATAGCCCCAGCTACTTGAGGGCTGAGGCGGGACAATCGCTTGAGCTCAAAGGTGGAGGTTGCAGTGAGCCAAGATTATGTCACTGCACTCCAGCCTAGATGGCAGAGGGACAGTCCACCTCAAAAAAAAAAAAAAAAAAAAAAAAAAAGAGCTTAGCAACAGAACATCAGTAGTGTGTATTGGTTGCTGTTGGCTATATTTGGCAAGGTACTGCAAAAATTATTAGCCTCAGAAAATAATTGGCCTGTTTACCAGCAAGAATGAAATGAAACAGAAAGAATCCAGAAATCAGGATTTACAGGATTACTTCTCAATCTCAATCTGTAGCAGATGAACATGAGGGGATTTTTGAGTGAAAAAGCCTAAGCAGAAGCAGAAGTATTGCTGTCACCCTCTTGTTAAAACCTGTAAGTGTGGCCAGACACTGGACCAAGCCTGTAATCCCAGCACTTTGGGAGGCCAAGGTGGGAGAATCACTTAAGCCCAGGAGTTCAAGACCAGTCTGGGCAACATGGTGAGACCCCCATCTCTACAAAAAAATTTAAAAATTAGCTAGGCATGGTGGCACACCTGTGGTCCCAGCTACTCAGGAGGCTGAGGTGGGAGGACCCCTTTAGCCT